AGTCAAAAACAACAAAATAAAATTGCAAACAAATGCAAACAAACATACCGAAAATTAAAATACAAACACCTAATAATTTCTCCCCTTTTACAACCAATAAAAAGTGCAAGAAAGAAATAGACTGAGAAATGTAAGTAATTATATGGAAATTCATTTTGAAAATAACTAAAATGTATGCAATGGTTTATAAGGTTGATTATGCCAATCCCTAAAACTAATGACATTAGAATCATAGAAGTTCATAGTTAGAATTAAGAGTGAACATGATATAACATTTGTAAGGGTAAGAAAAGAATATAGTCAAAAACTGATTCAATTAGACATTTGAATATAAAAAACTCATTATAAGGAGATGCCATAAAAATTCTATATTCCCAAAAGTTCAATTAGAAATTAAACATGAACATTAAGATCAATTTGAATAAAGATTGAAAAAGAATTTGGATATAAAGAACCAGACATTAACCACATTGTATGCGCCTTGCTATCCTTTTTCAATTTATTAATTAAACCATCCTGGGCCTATGTCAATTCTTCGACGCGACAAAATAGCAATACCTATAAACATTGTATTATTTCGTGTTTAATGTGGGCATGGATTTTTATTATGTGTTTAAAATTCTTTGGGACATAATTTTATTGCATCTACTTTCTTATTTTCCACTATTGCTATTATTTTCCTGCTAAAACCCTTAATTTTTCATTTACGCAATTCTGTGTTCGTGAGGCTTACGCCTCAGACCGCCTCGAGGCTTACGCCTCGCCTCACGGACGAAAACCGCCTCGAAGCGCAGTTACGCAATTTTAAATCTTGGACTCAACTACCTCTTTGTGTCTTGTAGTACCATGCATCTCTATAAACATCCTCTGTTAGTTTACAGAATTTTTGCCTCTTGAGTACCACAGCCAACTGAGAGAGAACTGCGAGGTGGAGAGAAAACACCCTAAGCAATGAGCTCCTAGTATAACTCATTTGCTATCTGCATACTAGAAAGAAGGAAAGCCTTCTCACTGAGTTTGCACCTTGTATTTTCTCCCATTTTGCTTCTAATCTCACACTTATATTGATCCCAACATCTCAAAATATCTCATTAAAACATACATAAATTTAAGGCATTATTCTTGTGTTAATACTATTTAATCTCATAGGATCTGTTGCATTGCTGCACTTCCAAGTAAATTGCAATATGGTGGTGCCTCATACATTTTTTGGGGAACTCTCTCTGCAAATTTGTCCTAACTGTCTCAACATGAGGATATGGCTTATGTAAGCCCATCTGCAGGTTAAATTCGTTGAGTTTGAAGCCAACCCAAACTGAATATCGACATAATTGTAATTGTAACCATATGAATAGGACAAAGCCATTTTGCCTGCATGTTTATTGATCCGACCCAATTTTTATTTGTCATTTCAAAACCAAGTTGGGGTGGAACCTACCAGATCATTCAAATTTTTCAATTTGCATAACGGCTAAACTTAGCTGTTGGTTTGGATGCATTGGCACCTATCCTATTATCATAGTCCAAGCAAGGACCCGCTTTTAATTTTATATGCAGTTTGTTTTTTGGTCAAATAGATTTAATGCTGGAAGATTGGCTTTAGCAAGCCAAAGAAAGAAAAACACAAATATTTGTTAGTAAATGTAGAAAAATGGTAAGATACTTGAAATTGAGGGGGAACTGCGTTTTTGTGTTCATATTGATACATGTACTTCTTTTATTAATCATAAATCTTGTAGACTTTAATCTCGGTGTCTCTGGCACCAGTCATCCAAGATCACTGCCTTAAAAGCTCCATTAACCACCCAGTACGGGCACTAAATCATTACAAGGAACAAACTTGTGCAGATGCAAGTTATTATTTATGTTTCATATATATTTTTTTCTTAGAGTAGTAAAAATTCCTCACTCATTCAAATAAAATATCCAAAGTGGAATCTGGGTTGCTTTTCTCATCATTAGAGGATCCATTTATTTCATCATTTTTTTTTTTTCTGTAAGGCTATGGCTCTATACCATTCATTTGGATGAGTTACAGGCCCCAGGTTCCTTTACGCTTGCTGCCATGCTCTGTACTGTAACTAGCAGGTGAGCAACAAGGGTTCTATCCACATCTCCGTAAGAACATAAAAATAGCTAGTGCCTTGAACTACTGGAGTCTTAGTTTGGTCTATTGTAACTACAATCATCTTTAGTGAAGAACTTGAGCTCATCAAACCTATCTGTGGAGATGCATAGAGTATTCATTCACTCAAATTGTCGCAAATGGCTGACTTTCATGTACTGTAGTCTTGAATCTGTTACATTACCCTTTTCTTTTTACTCTTCAATGCAGGGAATCCTTTCTTTTATGAAACTTGAAATCTACTGAGAGCTCCTTTTGTGGAAAATAGAGAAGACATGCATATATTAGAATGAACTAAATCCAATGGAGCAATAAAAGAAGAAAAACTTTTATTAAGAGGCGATGCAGGATTTTTTTTATTTGTAGCAACTATAGTTAGAAATATCAGAAATTTGTGAATTTTCAAATGATCTTATAGAAATATAATATATAAATGATAGGACATTATATTATCCAAATGAGAATGTCATAAATAAAAACTAGGTGAAGCACTTAAACGAGCCAAGGGCATAAGAGAGCCATTAACAAGCATAATATACTAGATTTGCTGGGGACAGAGAAAAAACACTAAGAATTAGGGGACGTGGAGAAGCTTTAGAGTCTGACTTGAATAAGGGGAGATATATTTGAAAAACTTGGTTTGACAAGCCAGAAGCAGACTTAACACATGGTTTGTGTGACAATGAATTTTTGGAATTGACAAGCGAAAAAATTTGCCATGGGATGACTGATAAATTATAATGAATGATCGCTATTAGTAGTCATGATGAGCAAAATAATAGAAGCACACGCATGAAAGGCAAGATGCAAATACAAAAATCAAAACAAAATAAAAGAAAATACTCGTCAAAATTGTACAGTTAACAGAAAAAAATGGATCCGCAAAACTCATGTATGATATTGAACATCTATGATGCACCGACACGGACACGACACGGACACGGGACACGGCATTTTTTAAAAATATAGGACACGGGTGCGGCGTGGACACGGCATAATAATTTTTTAATATGATATATAGAAATTAAGACGACATTATATTAAAAATGACAATGAATAATAAATCAATTTCATGATAACTTGTTTATCTTATAACATAAAAATGTTTAGTACAAAATATCAGTACAACCACAAAAATATAAGCAAAAAACTATTTAGTACAACATGAAGGTCCAACTACTCAATAGAGGGAATGATAGAATTAGGTTCAGATGTTGATTTTTGATCAACAATATCATCATCATTGAATATCATTGCTTCCAACTCTGGTTCATCTAGAGAAAGATTTGCAACCTCCAATAATCTCATATCATTAAGGCACTCGAACCCATCTCCAGTAACATCCCACATCTTATTATCACATGTCATATAAAGTGAGGTTTTCCTTGATAGAAGACGAAGATTATATTCCTCCTAAATCATAGCTAGAAAGAAGGAAAGTCTTCTCACTGAGTGTGCACCTTGTATTTTTTTCCCATTTTGCTTCTAATCTCACACTTATCTCGATCCCAACATCTCAAAATATCTCATTAAAACATACATAAATTTAAGGCATTATTCTTGGTGTTAATACTATTTAATCTCATAGGATCTGTCGCATTGCTGTACTTCCAAGTAAATTGCAATATGGTTGTGCCTCATACATTTTTTGGGGAACTCTCTCTACAAATTTTGACCTAACTGTCTCAACATGAGGATATGGCTTATGTAAGCTCATCTGCAGGTGAAATTCGTTGAGTTTGAAGCCAACCCCAAACTGAATATCATATAATTGTAATTATATGAATAGGACAAAGCCATTTTGCCTGCATATTTATTGATCCGACCCAATTTTTATTTGTCATATCAAAACCGAGTTGGGGTGGAACCTACCAGATCATACAGATTTTTCAATTTACATAACGGCTAAACTTAGCTGTTGGTTTGGATGCATTTGCACGTATCCTATTATCATAGTCCAATCAAGTACCCGATTTTAATTTTATATGCAATTTGTTTTTTGGTCAAATAGATTTAATGTTGGAAGATTGGCTTTAGCAAGCCAAAGAAAAACACAAATATTTGTTAGTAAATGTAAAAAAATGGTAAGATACTTGAAATTGAGGGGGAACTGCGTTTTTGTGTTCATATTGATACTTGTATCTTCTTTTATTAATCACAAATCTTGTAGACTTTAATCTCCGTGTCTCTGGCACCAGTCAACCAATATCACTGCCTTAAAAGCTCAATTAACCACCCACTACGGAAACTAAATCATTACAAGGAACAAATTTGTGCAGATGCAAGTTATTATTTATGTTTCATTTTTTTTTCTTAGAGTTGTAAAAATTCCTCACTCATTCAAATAAAATATCCAAATTGGAATCTGGGTTGTTTTTCTCATCATTAGAGGATCCATTCATTTCATCAAAAAAAAATTTTTTTTTTTTTCTGTAAGGCTATGGCTCTAAACCATTCATTTGGATGAGTTAGAGGCCCCGGGTTCCTTTACGCTTGCTGCCATGCTCTGTACTGTAACTAGCAGGTGAGCAACAAGGGTTCTATCTACATCTCCGTAAGAACTTAAAAAATAGCTAGTGCCTTGAACTACTGGAGTCTTAGTTAGGTCTATTGTAACTACAATCATCTTTAGTGAAGAACGTGAGCTCATCAAACCTATCTGTGGAGATGCATAGAGTATTCACTCACTCATTCAAATTAATATTCATGCTCCATATATAATATGGTTTTCATCTGTTCTTATTTTATTTTTTCCGTTCCATGTTTTAATGGAATTCATTTTTAACTATGAAATACGCATGAATATTAATTTTGTATTTCGTTGTTTATTGTATGGAGAATTTAGCAATTCTTAACTGAAACAAGCAAAATGCAGGTCGTGGTGATTGGAAACTTTGCTGCATCGCACAAGCATCTTGAAAGTTCAAGCATCTATTGTGTCTTTGGTGAATTATGTGTTGGCATGCAAATGGTCCAATCTGGAGTTTATCGATGTATTGCATTGCCACAAATGCCGGGAAAAGTTGATGCTTTCTTAAGTTTGGATGGTCAAACTCCTATTAGCCAGGTTATTACATTTCATTATCGCCATGTCCCTGCAGTGCAGTTGAATGATGGAGTTACTTCAAAGGATGCAAATGGAGAAGAGAAATTTAGGGATGTGATGGCACAAAAAAGGCTGGCTCATCTTCTCTTCTCTACAAGCGATAGCATGCCCCTTTTTTCCAGCAAAATGCTTCCTAAAGCTATAAAGGAAGCACAAAGAGTTGCACAGATTACCTCACCTTATATTGAAAATGATTGGAAGGAGTTGCTCAAATTAGACTGTAAGAATGAGATTACATTTTATCAAGCTTGTGAAGATTTGCTTGAGTTGGTCTTTAAAAACAAATTGCAGGAGTGGTTAATGAAAAAAATTGCTGAAGGATGTAAAATAACTACTCGGGACAGTCAAGGTCAAGGTGTGATCCATTTATGCACTATTTTGGATTACACTTGGGCTGTAAGTCTTTATTCATTGTCAGGCTTTTCCTTGGATTTTCGGGATGCTTATGGTTGGACAGCATTGCACTGGGCTGCACATCTTGGGAGGTACATTTTCTTTAATCTTGAAAAAGAAACTGTCATGAATCTGTTTTGGAGTTTTACTCTTGACATTAATACATAGCAATATCTGAATAGCTTCTCAAGGAAATCTTGCTAGGCACATTTTTAGTTTGTGGAACTTAAATGCTTCGCTAAAGGTGCTTTGGGCTTGGTAGCTGGCTCAGCTGGGGTCTGGTTTAGGTTGCGTTTTTAATAAATCTTAGGTTGCATAATTTATCAGTGATGTGGGTGACACGCTCGTTAAATTACAGATATTGCGCACAAATGGCTTTATCCATACAATTTTGGGCTTTGATAGAACAATCTAAGAAACCTTTACTAGTTACATTTTAGGACAGTGAGCTAACTCCAATGGATCCTTAAGCCCATTTAGGTGTGCATTTAATGAAGACATGGTAATTGTTTTTTTGAGCTTCGTATGCATAGGGATCAAACACTATTATTGAATCAATGTAACACTAAATATTGCTCAATTCAAATTATTAGTTCATAACAAAATATTTAACTTGCATCACTTAATCTTTTTACAAGGCATCCATTTTGTAATGTATTAATCAAAAAATTGATCTGCATGATTTGTGGTTTGAAGTTAATGCTTTCTTTTATATGCTATCTTTATTGATGTACATAACAACAACAACATCAAGCCTTTATCACACTACATGGGGTCGGCTACATGAATCTTTTTTCTCCATTGTGTCCTATTAAAAGTCAAATTCTCGTTTAAATATAATAAAGAAAGGTCATTCCTAATATTTTCTAACCAAGTCTTTTTAGGTCTACCCCTATCTTTCTTTATTGATGTACATAACGAAAATTTTAAATTTCAGTTTTCTTGAAGTTTAATAATCAAGAAAAGTAACTTCTTGCCTAGTTCCCTGTCATCATTTTTCCAATTAAATGATATTAATAATCCTCTTCATCATCCATATTGGTGCTGCAATTCAGTAATGGGGAAAGGGCCCAAATATGCTGAGAAGCTTGATTTAACTAGTGTGGTATTTGATTATCACTGGAATTTTTATTCTAGTCTTTAAAGAAACTACTATTGCCCTGTTGACTAAAGAAAAAAACAAAAAAGATAAGAGAAGAAATTCAAACAAATAATTCCATTCACAAAGCAACCGACATGTAGGGTGCGTTTGGGACAACGTTGCTACTGCTGTGCTATATAAAAAGCATTGTAATACTCGTTTGGGCCAATCACGTCAGAGGCAGTTACGAAAATTTCTGCTTCCCCACGCTGCTTTGTCCGACCATACCCTATCGGCCACGGTCCCGCTGCTTTCCGCGGTACCGAAGCTAGAAAATTACGTAAATGCTAATGCAAGAGTGCGATCAGAATAGAAGCTACTTTTTCGCCGGCGACGATGTCTTCTCCCTTCTCTCCTTTTTCGGCGCCATCAACCTCCCCTACAGTGCCTTTCACTTCCTCTCCCACCTTTCCTCGTCATCCTGTCTCAACCAAAATTCAACCAAACTCCTCATCTCCGCTTCCTCCGCCGTTCACAGTGCCGTCTCCGGCGACTAGTTTCGAGGTGGTGATTGTGGTGGGGGGAACAGGCTACCTGGGAAGAAGAATAGTGAAGGCAAGCATAGCCGAAGGACACCCAACCTTCGTGCTGAATCGACCGGAGATCGGACTCGATATAGAGAAGGTTCAGATGCTTCTGTCTTTCAAACAGAAGGGTGCTCGGCTTGTTGAAGGATCTTTCAACGATCACCGGAGCCTCGTCGACGCCGTCATGCAGGTCGACGTCATCATATGCGCTATCTCTGGCGTGCATTTTAGGAGCCATGAAATCCTCCAGCTCAAGCTTGTTAAGGCCATCAAAGAGGCTGGTAACATCAAGGTGATGATGATCAGCTCATTCTCTCAGTCCAATTTATTTAGTATTTAAATTATTATAAAAATTTTGATTTTTTTTTAGCTAGAGCCTGATGCGGTGGCCGGCGGCGGTGGGAGAGACGGATGAGTCGTCGTGGTGCCAGCGGGAGGGCGGTGGCGGTGGGTGATCGGACACCGTGATAACTGATAAGTGCTTTTTACTATTTTTAAGGAATTATTTATTTATTTAGAATTGTTAATTGATTATCATATACATTTAAAAAAAAATTAAAATTGAAAAAGTTATATATTTCATCTAAATATATATAAGGGTATGAAGGTAATTAGTTCTCATGCTGCAGCAGCACAGCAGCTTTACAGTTATACTATCCAAACAAAATATAATGATTTCTATAAAGTAACTTCAGGAAGAAACTTTCTGTACAATAATTTCACAACCTGCTTTACCGACAGCTGCAGCCGTCCCAAACGCACCCGTATTCTATGTCCCGGTCCCACCACCGGCAGTTAGTCGCCAAAGGAGACGATGCTTCACTCACAAAACTCCCGCTCGATTGTTCGCTCGATAAAAAGGGAGAAAGAAGCGAGGAAAAAAGAAAGGAAAACTGACGCTCGTTCTTCGTGGTTGTTCGGTTTCGTTGCTTTGCAGAAGGCAAAGAGATCGCACAAGACGCTCCTTTAGCTTCCCCCTTGCTGTTCAACTTTGGCTCCTTCACTGCTGTCCGACCTCGTCACTTCGCAGGAGGAGAGGTTGCGCGTGACGCTCGTAGGAGCAACGAAACCGAGCGTGAGTTTTCTCATTTACGCAATTCTGTGTTCGTGAGGCTTACGCCTCAGACCGCCTCGAGGCTTACGCCTCGCCTCACAGACGAAAACCGCCTCGAGGCTTAATTACGCAATTTTAAACCTTGATTCAAGTTGCTAAAATTTTGCATGCTTCAAAAAGACATGTAGCCTCCGACATATATTTTGACATGACGTGTTTGACATACCTCTGACACGTGTTAGACGTGCAGAAGATCTGTCCGATTAAAAATATATTTAAAATGAAATAGATATATGTTTTAAATATTTTATATTTTTTAAAAATATATATAATTTCTCGTATTTCAATTTTATTTATTAAAAAATAGAAACTAAATTTTTTATTATCTCTCCGTAGCACCAAATCAAGCGCCTGCACTCAATATCCCATTTCAACAACAACAACAAGCTTTTATTCCGCTACGTGGGGTCGACTACATGAATCCTTTTTCTCCATTATGTCCTGTTAAGAGTCAAATTCTCATTTAAATTAAAAAAAATGTCATTTCTTATATTTTCTAAGAAAGTCTTTTTAGGAAGAAGGCCGCTTTATGTGACCATCTAAGGCGACGCTCTCTAATATTATCTTCCACTGGAGCTACTTCAACCTTTTTAGATATATGCTCGTTTTGTATCCTATCTTTTAGAGTAAAGCCACTCATCACCTGAGCATCCTCATCTCTGCAACACTTAACTTAGTATTATGCTTCTCTTTTAATGGCCAACATTTTGCACCATAAACTATTGTAGCTCTCACTTCTATCTTATAGAATTTTTCCTTAAGTTTGAGAGGGACTTTTCTATCACACAACAAACCCGATGCATTTCTTCACTTCAATCATCTAACTTGAATTCTACTAATAATATCCCCATCCATTTCACCATCACTCTGAACAATAGACTCAAGATATCTAAAATGAATGCTCTTATTAATGACTTGATCCCAAAGTCACAATAACCCAACTAGATCTATTAATACTAAAATTATATTCCATATATTCAGTTTTAGATCTACTCAACAAAAGCCTTTAGACTCTAAGGTTGACCTCCATAATTCAAGTTTACCTTTAACCCCCTCTCTATTCTTATCAAGAAGAAGAATATCATCAGTGAAAATCATTCACCAGGTTACAGCCTCTTGCAAATGTCTAGTGAGAACATCCATGACTAAAGCAAAAAAGATTTGGGCTTAAGGCCGATCCTTAATATAAATAAACTAAAATAGGAAAATACTTGGTCAAACCACCTTGTGTTTAAACACCAATAGCTGCTCCTGCATACATATCCTTAATGACTTGAATGTAAGCAATATTAATCCCTTATGTAGTACTCTTCATAGTACTTCTTTGGAACTTTATCATATGCTTTCTCTAATTCAATAAAAATCATGTGTAGATCCTACTTATTCTCTATATACTTCTCCATCAAATCTCTCAATAAATGTATAGCTTCCATATATCTTTTGCCCTCTTTTGTATCTAATATATTATATAAATCATTAAAAGCTAAATTTTTTTCTACATATTGGTTTCTTATACTCTTTATGAGCCTCTTTATATCTTTCTCAATTATCAAGGTTTTACAGTTAAACTAATTTTTATAATAAATCTTTTTATTATTTATTTTTTCCTGTACATTTTGATTCCACCAACAACTAATTTTACTATTACTAGTTTTTCCCTTTGTTACTCGAAGCATATCTTTTACAATATTTTTGATATCAAAAGCTATTTTTTCCCACAAAATTAATATCCTCATGCACAGACATAATCTTAAGATCTTGAATCTTACTCAAAAAAATAATTTTGTTAATATTTTCTTTAAATGCCTCCATCTAATTCTAGAGCAACGATTTACTTGATTTTTTTTTTCTGCCGCTTATTTAAACAATATTACCTCTTTCATAGCTTGGAATATATTTGTTGTCACACCAAAGTCCTATAGTTTTGCAATTTTAAGAAGAAAATACTTTTTCATTAAGCTACATATATCGATAATGCTTATCAAATTGTAGCTTCATTTGATTTTGTGTTTGCTAGAGGTTTTGTTGATTTTCATACTGCCTTATCAGTAGTTCATTGATAGCATTGATGGTTTATTGTCCCACATATGGATGGATGCTTGGAAGGAGTCTTTCTATAAAGGGCCTAAAATGGAGTGTTGTTGATGAAAATATTTTAGGAAGTCTTAGAGAATTTTCCTTCAGGAAAATTATACATATGACTGGATACCCTTCACATAACATCGTAACTGCATGATCCTTTGTTGGTCTCCTGCATTTGCCCATCCATTTTTTGACGAAGTGCAGTGCTATATTGGATCTTGGTCCATA